ACCGAAAGGTCATTCAGGATCGAGCCGCTGCGGGAAATGCGGCAGGACGCACGTGGGGATATGTAGGATGGGATCAGGAGGCTGCTACAAGTGCGGCAAGACAGGGCACTTTAGCAGGGATTGTACTGCTCCAGTTTCAGCTATTCAGACATCCGAGTTGCTGTGTTTTCACTGCAACCAGAGGGGCCACAAGAAGGCCAATTGCCCCCAGTTGTCAGTTGCAGCGCCAGTGAAGGCGCCGGCTCCAGCGACCCTGCGGATCACGGATGGTCGGCAGGGCAAGGCAGAGGCTCCAGTAGTGAGGAGTCGGGCATTTCAGTTGACTACCGAGGAGGCACGCGCCGCGCCCGATGTGGTGACGGGATCGTTCCATGTGAACGACATCCCGGTTCAGGTATTGTTCGACTCGGGTGCATCCCGATCGTTCGTTTCTCTGGCTCTTAGCAAGAGATTTCATGAGACTTCAGGCGAGTTAGATTGCCCGTTAGAGGTAGAGATTGCTGACGATCGATCGGTGCGAGCATCGATGGTGTTTCGAGATTGTGTTCTGCGACTGTTTGAGGAGCGTTACCTGGTAGACTTGGTCCCCATCCCATTGCGTGGGAACAAGGTGATTATTGGCATGGATTGGTTGAGTCCTAATGGGGTAGTGATAGATTGCGCGCAGCAGCTAGTGCGAGTCAGAACCCCAAGCGGGGGAGAGTTAGTGATTCATGGAGAGCGGCCACAGTGTGGACCCACTGTATGTTCAGCAGCGAGGGCTAGGCGCTACCTTCAGCAGGGATGCGTGGGTTATGTCGCGTATGTGATGGATACCCGGGAGGCGGGTAAGGCGACCGTGAGCGAGGTCCCGGTGGTTCGAGATTTTGCAGATGTTTTCCCGGAGGAACTACCTGGGATACCTCCGGAGCGACAGGTGGAGTTCAGGATTGACCTCATTCCCGGTGCGGCTCCGATAGCCAAAGCACCGTATCGGTTGGCTCCTCCCGAGATGCAGGAGTTGTCTACGCAGCTGCAGGAGCTGCTAGACAAGGGATTTATTCGTCCGAGCAGTTCACCCTGGGGAGCCCCGATTCTGTTTGTAAGGACGAAGGACGGGTCGCATCGGATGTGTATAGATTATCGGGAGCTGAACAAGGTAACGGTGAAGAACCGATACCCGCTTCCGAGGATTGATGACCTATTTGACCAGCTTCAGGGAGCATCTTGGTTCTCCAAGATTGACTTGCGTTCAGGCTATCATCAGATGAGGGTTAGGGAGGAGGATATGCAGAAGACTGCGTTTCGGACGCGCTATGGTCATTACGAGTTCGTGGTGATGCCGTTTGGGCTCACCAATGCTCTTTGCCGCGTTCATGGACCTCATGAACCGCGTGTGTAGACCGATGCTGGATCGGTCTGTGATAGTCTTTATCGATGATATTCTGGTCTATTCCAAGACTCGGGAGGAACACGAGGAGCATCTAAAGGAGGTATTGGAGACCATGAGGAGGGAGAGCTTGTATGCTAAGTTCTCCAAGTGTGAGTTTTGGTTGCGCGAGGTGCAATTCCTTGGACACCTCGTCAACCAGAACGGGATTCTGGTTGATCCGGCCAAGGTCGAGGCCGTGATGAGATGGGAGGTCCCGAAGTCTCCATCTGAGATTCGGAGCTTCCTGGGATTGGCAGGCTACTATCGGAGGTTTATCCAAGATTTCTCCAAGATAGCCGTGCCCCTAACACGACTGACGAAGAAAGTCGTGGTCTTTCGGTGGGGACCCGAGCAGCAGGCTGCGTTTGAGATGCTAAGACAGAAATTGTGTGAGGCGCCGATCCTAGCCCTGCCTGAGGGCGTAGAGGATTTTGTGGTTTACTGCGATGCGTCCATTTCGGGGTTGGGCGCAGTTCTGATGCAGAGGGGGCATGTCATTGCCTACGCTTCGCGACAGCTCAAGCCTCACGAGGCAAACTACCCGACGCATGATTTGGAGTTGGGGGCGGTGGTTTTTTGCCCTCAAGATTTGGCGACATTACCTCTATGGGGTTCGGTGTACCATCTACACGGACCACAAGAGTTTGAGGTACCTCATGGACCAGCCGAATCTGAATATGAGGCAGCGACGGTGGTTGGACGTGGTGAAGGATTATGATTGCGAGATCCTTTACCACCCGGGGAAGGCCAATGTGGTGGCTGATGCGCTTAGCCGCAAGACGGTGCCGATCAGGGACGTTTGCTTGAGGATGACCGTGGTGACTCCCCTATTGGAGCAGATTCAGGAGGCTCAACAGGAGGCTATCAAGGAGGAGCATCGGAAGAGCGAGCGTATGGTAGGTCAGGTTTCCTCCTTTGATTATGATGGCAGAGGACTTTTGACACTACACCGTAGGGTGTGGGTGCTGTATCACGGTGGCGTGCGTCAGATTTTGATGGAGGAGGCGCACAAGTCCCGATTTTCTATTCATCCCGGGGTGACGAAGATGTATAGGGATCTTCGTCCGGATTACTGGTGGCCCTGCATGAAGCGGGATGTGGCATGGTACGTTGAGCGGTGTTTGACCTGCAGGAAGGTCAAGGCCGAACATCAGAGACCGCATGGCAAGATGCAGCCGTTGGACATCCCACTATGGAAATGGGAAGATATCACGATGGATTTTATCACAAAGCTTCCCAGGACCACACGTGGAGTGGATTCGATTTGGGTCATCGTGGATAGATTGACCAAGAGTGCTCACTTTATTCCAATCCAGGAGAGCATATCGGCCGAAAAATTGGCCGACATCTATATCAGGGAGATTGTGGCACGGTATGGAGTGCCAGTATCGGTAATCTCAGACAGGGATGTGCGTTTTACTTCCAGATTCTGGAAGAAATTCCATGACGAGTTGGGCACTCGTCTGCATTTCAGCACCGCCTTTCACCCGCAGACAGATGGTCAGAGTGAGCGGACCATCCAGACTTTGGAGGACATGTTGCGGGCGTGTGTGTTGGATTTCGGTGGTAGCTGGGATACCTATCTTCCCCCTGGCTGAGTTCTCCTACAACAACAGCTATCACGCGAGTATTGACCGACCACCGTTCGAGATGTTGTATGGGCGGAAGTGCAGAACCCCGATATGTTGGGGTGAGGTTGGCCAGCGAGTCATGGGAAGCACCGAGGTGGTGCTAGAGACGACCGAGAGGATCCAGCAGGTTCGGAGCAGACTTCAGACTGCACAGAGTCGGCAGAAAAGCTACGCCGATAGACGTCGATCCGACTTGGAGTTCCAAGTCGGGGATATGGTCCTCCTGAAAGTGTCGCCTTGGAAAGGTGTCATTCGATTCAGGAAGCGGGGCAAGTTGGGCCCAAGGTTCATCGGGCCGTTCAGGGTTGCAGCCGGGTGGGCAAGTTGGCGTATAGGCTGGACCTGCCAGCCGAGCTCAGTCAGATCCACAACACCTTTCATGTTTCGCAGCTGCGGAAGTGCCTGGTGGACGATTCAGCAGTAGTACCATTGGAGGATATTCAGGTTGATGACAGCTTGAATTACATTGAGCGCCCAGTCGCAATACTAGACAGAAAGGCAAAGACGTTGAGGAACAAGAGGGTAGAACTAGTAAAGGTGCAATGGCAGCACCGCAAGGGTTCGGAGTGGACTTGGGAACCGATGGACGAGATGATGGAGCATTACCCCGAGCTGTTTCAGGACCGGGCAGCAGACTTCGAGGACGAAGTCTAAAATAAGTGGGGGAGATTTGTAGCACCTGGTTTCCGGTATGTGCATTTTATTTGAGTATTGCCCTATTTTAGCCTTGGACTCGGCGAGTCACAAGGTTCGACTCGCCGAGTAGGGACGAGACCCGGGACACGTTTAAGTGGGCGACTCGGCGAGTCCATATCCTGGACTCGGCGAGTCACCGCTGTTGGATGAAACCCTAAGTTTCAGGGGTTTGCACCCTATTTAAACCTCATATCTGCCTCTTGCCAGCCCCCATTCACCCCCAGAGCTCCCAACCCTCGACCTAACTCGTCCTAAGCTTGTTTCTTGTGAATTTGAGGCTCTTGTGTGGATTCTTGAAGGTTTTGAGGCAAGGAGGGGAAAGAGATCAAGAGGAAGGAGAGCCATCCAAGCATCATTGTGTTTTTCAGCAGGTTTCATTGAGCCGGGGAGTTTCCGGAGCAGCAGCAGCAGTAGTAGGTGATCAATTCCCACACAGACCAGCAGCTATTTCGAGGTGAGTTTCCTTTCAGTAGTAACGGGTCTAAGGCACCAAGGCCGGCCCGTATAGATGAGACGATAGTATTATAGTGTGGGCTGAGCCCGTATCTATTAGTCGAGTTGATTGTGATATATACCAGTATGATAGAACTGTTTACACTTGTTGTCTGCGTGATACTTGTATGATATGTGTTGACGGTTGGGTGTGGGCGAGGCCCGTATCCCTCCGAGAATGGAGTGTGGGCTAGGCCCGTATCTCCCAGGTAGCGAAGTGTGGGCGGGGCCCATATCTTCACGAGTGTGGGCGGGGCCCGTATCTCTCAGAAAGTGAGGTGTGGGCGGGGCCCGTATCTTCACGAGTGTGGGCGGGGCCCGTATCTCCTAATTGCATGTTAATTGTTATATGCTGTATGGTATGGGGTATTATGGGGGAGCTCACTAAGCTTTATGCTTACGGTTTCAGTTTTGGTTTCAGGTACCTCCTCAGCTAGGGGAAAGGAGCCGGCACGGTAGCAGCATGTCACACACACACTCTTCGGTTTCCGCATTTACGAGATTCACTGGGATTGTACTCTGATATTTGATGGCTGTATGGTTTGATTATTAAAACATGGTTTGTGATGTGTTATGGCGTGATCAAACAATGTTTTTATTTATTAGTGTTTTCTAAAAGTAATATTTTAAAATGAAATTTTTGGACATGAAAATTGGGTCGTTACATGATGTTTCTGAACCTGTGGAAGTGAGGCTTATATATACTTTATTATCAATATAGCTCTACTTTTTTTTTGTTATGCATATTTATTTATTAAAATAAAATTAATATGCAGAAAAATACACTCATTATCGTGGGCACTATAAAGGGAATTTTACAAAATGAACCATGGCATTATTTGGCATGTACAAATTGCAACTACAGAGCATTTCGGCCTCCTGGTGCAGACGATCAACCTGATGGAAATGGTTTAATTGGAGCAACTAATGGTTATGAATGTCATAATAAGGACTGCAAAAAAACTGAAACTTCAGTTATTCCGAGGTTATTAATTTCCTCTTGAATCGGTTAAACCTATGTTATATTTCGTATATATAAATATTATTTTGGATTTTTTTTATAGATTTATGATTCCGATACGTGTGCAAGACAATACTGGTACTGTTACCTTAACCATGTTTGAAAGAGATGGAAAGTATCTTTTGAAGAAATCAACCAATGAACTGTTTAAAAAAGCAGTGGAGGTGGTGCACCATAAATAAAATTAATTAATACATTGACTTTATATATTTACTTTAACCAAACTTTTTTTACTTTTATTATTGTAGCTTGGTTTTGGTACTGCTTTTTATCCCGGAGAGATAAATGCACTGAAAGGTTTGAAATTGGCTTTTAAAATATCAATCAAAAACTTCAACATCTCAAAAAAGAACAACCAATACAGTATATGTAGAGTCAGTGATGATGAAAAGTTGATTGAAGAACTGAAAAATAAGTTTACTGCTTCCCAGGTCATTATATTTATTATTATTATTAAGATTTTGAGATTATTATATTTTTTGTGTTTTTATGTATATATAAACCTTATTATATTTATTAAATAATAGTCTAAATATTTGATATAAATGTTTACACGTTTATTTAATATGCTGACCTATGTTCATATTTTTTTTATTATGCAGGTTGGTAATTCACAGTCATTTGATATTGGTGAATTTGATTTTGAAACACAAAATAATAGGACTTTGAAGGTAGATGTACACATTATATTTGTATCTAATTATTATATAAATATTAGTTCACTTTATAAATAAATTAATTAATTACAATTGTTTTCTGTTTAGGATGAAATTTCTGGAACAGGCGACAACATAACACCTTCCACAGTTGATAAAAACTCAGCAACAAGTCCCATGAAGAGTTTTAATACACAAACAGTTTTGAAGAGAAATTTGGAAGAAGTATTTGATTTGGAGTTGAATGAAAAGTTATCATCATCAAAAACTCCAAAAATTTCACAAGAAGGACGCATTAACGAGATTGTGAACGTCAAGTTGGAAAAAAGTGGCTGAGTTATTATTTTAATTTGAAGTTTCATAAGGTAGTGGACCATGGCTTTTAAACAATATTTATGCATTTTATTTTTCATTCGGTACTTTGATATTATTGTTTGGAGGTTTTAAACATTTGTTGGGGATGATTGTTTTTTAATGGTATGTTTATCGTGCATTTTTAATATTTTATGAATTTATAATTTAGAAATTATTTTGTTGTTTAATAAATATTTTTAAACCTGTTTTTCATGTTATCAATGCATTAAGGTAAAGAATATCACAATTGAGTTTAAACTGCAATATACTTTCATATTACTAAATTTCTAAATCAGTTATGTAAAATAGTATTTGATGCAATCTATTATCTTTTTTACTATTAGTAAATATTCATACCATTATTAAAAGTATTAAGTACCTTTCACTAATTGTCAGACCATCAAGTTGCTAGATTGCTAGATTGTGAAGATTCAAACTTTGTTTACTTTTTGAAGTAGAACCTATATAAATCATCACCAAATATATTTAATATTCAATATGTTTAATATTTTTTTATCAACTATCATAGTAAATAATATATTACGTTTTTTACCTTTCAACTAACCATAACAATCACATGTCCATAACCAAATATTGCTTGTGTTTGTACATTTGAACCCTTCATCCATTTTTAAACCATTCTCGACACCCTTTACTACATTTCCTGCGAAATAATCAATAAAACAAATAAGATTATTTAGTTTAATAATGTTGGAATTGGATATTTGGATCACCTGATGCCACAAGAAGGAATAAATAAATAATTTTTTCTTATATTTGACTATAATTTATTGAGCATTTAAGTATATGTGAAGGTAAAGTTTGTGTATCATAAAGTTTTAAAGTTTATAAAACGACACATACTCTCTCTGTTGAGAAGTAGCACTGTTTTGAGCATGATAGAAAAAATCACTATCCTGAAATAAATAAAGCAACATTCTTTAGTCATAAAGGCTGAAATATATCCAAAAACCATGTCAAGAAATTAGACTAATAACGACACTTATAGTAGAGATGCACTAAAGGGTAAAATCGTCAAATTACAAAATAGGCATAATGACACAACTATGATTGTTTTAAAGCCTGAAATGTATCAGAAAACCATGCCTAGAAATTGAAACAATAATGGCACTTACAGTAGAGATGCACTAAAGGGTAAATCGTCAAATTACAAAATAGGCATAATCACACAACTATGATTGTATGTACGAATACACATAATTTTGTAAATTTCATTCTGAAAATTAGAAAAATGCAAACAGTATATATAAATTGTTTGTTATATGTAGAGATGCACTAAAGGGTAAAATCGTCAAATTTCAAAATTATTGGAGGTTCTCAGCCATCTCTTCTATTGTTTGAATTTCTCTTTTGTTATGACTAATATCCGCTAATATATTGGTAAGAAAAATTCAAATATTTGGTGTTTGGATGTGGTTAAAGACATTCTTGGAATGAAAAAATATTACCCATCCAAACTGTTCCAGTTGAGACAAAAAGCCCTTCTTCCTTAAAAACAGGAAGAGACTCACCAGTAAGCATAGACTCATCCACAACACTTCTTCCAACAATAACTTTCCCCTGAACACAAGAATGTGGCATCCCATCCAAGCTTAGTGTTAAGAAGTGAGATCTAGAAGATGGAGAATGTATTAGTAGTATAAAACATGTAATGACGTGATGAAAAATTGATAAAAATATGGTGTCTATGAATGAGAAGCTTACAACACTTATCATAAAAGCAACAACGGATCCAAATCCAACAAGTGAGTTCATATTTGGAGAGCCCTTAAAGAATGCCTTTGGACCATCATAAAGCAAACCTGAGAAAACTTTCATTGGATATAAATCATATGATCAAATGGATTATTGACAGAATGTCAAAATTATTTCTTCAGGTATGAATTAAAATTTAAAACCAACCTCTACTGTATCCCAACAAAGCACCAATAGCTAAACTGCATTTGAAATAGGAATTTTGAAAGAATATTCTTGGAATGGGATGTCATCTCTTCTATTGTTGTAATTTCTCTTTTGTTATGATGAATATCCGCTAATATATAGGTAAGAAAAATTCAATTTGTTGGTGTTTGGGTGTGGTTTTAACTTTAATATTAAACTTATTTCTTAGATGTAATTGATGATATAGAGATCATATGTATTATACCTAAAATTGAAACCCTAAATATACAATTATACAAATGTCATATAATTTGGAAGGTATATCAACTACAGTAACTGTTTTATTTACTCATATATTATCCCGTGATTTATTGTGCACCAAATTATGTATAAATTTTCGCAAATTCAAAATTCAAATATTTAAACAAATACAAAAAAATTTCAAATTTCGAACCAAAAGCATATCTACCTGATTGTGTTTCCGCTCTTAAAGAATTTCAAGGCATTCCTTTCAACAACTTCAGTTTTCGCTAACATCTTCAAATACAACATTTCTGGAGAAATAAAATCAGATAAGATTTCTTTGATAAAATGTATTTTCTCTTACAAAAACTAAGATTAACAATCAATTGATCTTCTCTCACCTCTGATCGTGATTTCTTCAACCGCCAAAGCTGCGTTTTTTAAGTCTCTGAGTTCGACATCGACTATTACTGGATGTAAGCTTCTCTTCACTTCAAATTTCTAATCGGTTGTGTAGTAGTATATTTCTTTATCGATTTAGATGGAGAATCTTTGACACCGTTTGAGATTTTCATCGATGGTTCTGGAGATATGTATGTAATCGATTCTAGGTCTGGTTTGTTTTACATCGTTTCTTTTACAGACAAAGGGGAAAGGGGGAAATATTGGGATGCCGACAAATGTCAAGTGAAAATAATTTTTTTGATAACAATGTTAAGTGAAAAAAAATTATAGGTCGTATCTATTAATTTGCTTGTATTTATAGATATTATTATACAATATTAACTATTATTATTAATTTATACATAAAAAATGTCTTAATTTATAAATCAAACATCTTTATTTATATATATATATATATATATATATATATATATATATATATATATATATATATATATATAAAACTCATTACCCGTTATGATTTACAACTACCATTTGTTTGTTTGCTATTTTATTATTAATCAATTATTTAATTGAAGTTTATACGTATTACATAAGTTACTAATCATCTGTAATGGGTATTTTCAAATTATTAATTTTTTTAGCGATATTTTTTTATTATATATGAAACAAGAACATGGATGCCACATATGCCAAAGAAAGAAGAAAAAAAAGAAAGTTATACTTGGATAATAAGAAATTAAATTATACTACGGAATCATCTCAACATATACCTATTACATATACCTATTGCACATGTTATTCCTTTTAGCGAATATGATAATTTCTTACTTTGTTTTACATATGTAATATATTTTATTTATTTATTTTTAATGTGCTCTTCATAATTATTTTAAAAATAAATAAACGTTTATAAAATATAATATATTGAACTTTATATAACTAAACGTCGCTAAATTATTTACTATTATTTTACAGGTTCAATTAACACTACATATTTTACCAACGCTAAAGAGAGGAGAAAAATTTGAAAGTTATATTTGGATAATAAAAAATCCAAAATAACTTCTAATACATCTACGCATCAAAAATCTTCTATTACACGTGTTTCTAACATGTCGAATAACGGTATTCTTATTCATTCTTTTTACAATTATTTTTTAACTATATAAAATATATCGAAATTTTGTATTATTAATTTTATTCTCTTTTTAAAAATTAATTTTATTTTTTTTATTACTAATTATTTTTTTCTCATTACATAACAGATGTCTATAATTGTCGTCGTCATTTAGTATCTATAGATAACTACAGAAACGTTACATCAGATAAGGAAAACGAAAAGTCGGTCAAATCATTTGTATATCAACATACAACTATTCATTCTCCTTCTACAAATATATATGTTAGAACTTCCTTATCTAACATTTCAAATGGTACGCATTTGTTTATAGACAAATTCTAAAACATATGTTTCGTATTTATATAATTTATAAAAATTCCAAACATTATAACTAATATTTTTATTTTATCAGGAAATTATATTTTTAATAATAACATTCAAACACCGCTATCTATTAACAATGATAATTCGGTGTTTAATATTGGCATGACATCCACCGGTCGTTCAACCATCATTCAAAAATCATCATCAATCAAGTTACCAAGAGGAAAACATCAATTAAAAAGGAAGGTTACACATATATGTGCTATACCTATGTTTGACTTGACATTAGATGAAGATATTAATGATGCCCATATTGTTGAAGATGTTTTCCGCGGTACTTCGATAGGTGATCATAATTATATAAAATTTAATATTATTTATTTTTTATTCTTTATTTATATTCATGAATTTTTATTATTTATGGAATTCAACAGATTACTTGGATCATGGAGACCAGATTGTTATATGCCAGATGTGTCATGCAAAACTATAGACAGATGAATCGGTTAGAAAAAAACAAAAAAGGAATACATCTTATTCCATATGTTGTGGTTACGGCAAAGTTGAGCTACCACCTTTAAAAGAAGCACCGTTATCTTACAAAAATCTTTACCGTTCCGTAGATTCTAAAAACAAATACTTCATGATAAACATTCGACGTTACAATTCAATGTTTTCATTTACATCAATGGGAGGCAAAGTTGATTCATCTATCAACACAAACAACGCACCATACATATTCAGACTTAGCGGTCAAAATTATCATAGTATGGGAAGCCTTCTACCTACATGTGGATCAAGACCAAAATTCAGTCAGTTATACATATATGATACGGAGAACGAGATTTCAAATAGATCGACAAGTATTGGGTATATTTTTACAATTAACTTCAATAAATATTTTCACTTCATTTAATTTTATTTACTAACAATAATTTTTTTTTAATAATATTTTCAGTGGATCAACAAACGCTTCTACATCAAGTTCAAGACCATATGATCTCCCGATTATAGAATTTTTGAAGGTTATGTTAGATTCAAACAATGCGTTGGTGAAGTCTTATCGGATGCTAAGAGACAGTCTTCATGAAAACCCTGACTCTAATTTGAAGTTAAGACTAATCGGAAAAAGAGAACAAGATGGAAGGACGTATAACTTACCAACTTCTTCTGAGGTAGCCGCTTTAATTGTTGGTGACATTCATGATTCAATTGAAAAAAGAGATATCATTGTTGAAACCTCATCGGGATTACTAAAGCGTATCAGTGAATTACATCCTTCTTACCTTTCTCTACAGTATCCATTACTATTTCCATATGGCGATGACGGTTACAGACTTTGACATCCTTCATAGAGGTATTACAAATTCAAGTAACAGCAAGCGCCCGACATGTACGATGAGAGAATTTTTCGCTTATAGAATTCAAGATAGAGATCAATCATTCTCACTAATTCTTAATGCAAAAAGGTTGTTCCAACAATTTTTAGTTGATGGTTATACCATGATTGAAAGTGAGCGATTATTTTTCATACGTAAGCGACAAAAAATTCTTAGATGTGAGACTTATGAGAATCTGCGTGATCACCAAGCACATGGGAGTACAGATATTTCAAACGTTGGGCAACGTGTGATCTTACCTTCTTCATTTACCGGTGGTGCACGTTATATGACGCAAAACTATTTGGATGCCATGTCGCTATGTAAATGGTTTGGATATCCAGTTTTTCATAACCTTTACGTGTAATCCCAAATGGCCAGAAGTTCAAAGGTTTCTTAAGGACACTCCACTTCATCCAGAAGATAGACCGGATATATTATGTAGGTTATTTAAGATTAAGTTGGATGCATTTATTAAAGATTTAAGGGAAAATGAAGTTTTTGGCAAGGTTCAAGCAGGTATTTACAATTATACTTATATATATATATATATATATATATATATATATATATATATATATATATATTCTTTAGTTTCTAACTTGTATCATATTTTTTGTATTTTTATATGTAGTGGTTTACACAATTGAATTTCAAAAAAGAGGTTTGCATCATAGTCATATATGCCTGTTTATGCATTCTGACTGCAAGCTTCCTACAGTTGAATATATCGATCCACTTATTTCTGCTGAGATTCCAAATATTGATGAAGATCGAGAATTATATTCACTTGTCAAGGAGTTCATGATTCACGGTCCATGTGGAGCTGAAAATTTCAATTGCCAATGCATGGTAGACGGAAAGTGTTCTAAAAACTTTCCAAAGCAATTCTGTAATCATACTTCAGTTGATCCAGATGGGTTTCCCTTATATAGGAGAAGAAATGATGGAAATTTTGTTGAAAAATCTGGTGTTCAGTTAGATAACAGAAACGTTGTTCCATACAACAAATATCTGTTAAAACGATACCAGGCACACATCAATGTTGAATGATGCAATCAAGGATCTTCTATAAAATATTTATTTAAATATATAAACAAGGGTTCTGATAGAGCGACTTTTGCTATGGTGCAAAGCAATAATGATTCTGATAAGAACGATGCATTGGATGAAATCAAAGAATACTATGATTGTAGATATATATCTGCATGTGAAGCATCGTGGTGGATTTTTAAATATGATGTTCATTATAGGCATCCTGCTGTGATTAGACTACCATTTCATTTGCCTGGTCAACAACAAGTTGTATATGAGTCAGACGATGATATTGAAGATGTCCTTGATCGGCCTTCAGTTGCTTCTTCAATGTTCATATCTTGGATGAAGTGTAATGAGATCAATAAAGAAGCACGAAAGCTTACATATGTTGAATTTCCTACCAAGTTTGTTTGGAAACCTAAACTTCAAAGTTGGCAGCCAAGGATAGTTGGATATTCTATTGGTAGAATTCACTCCGTTTCACCTTAGCTTGGCGAAGCATATTTTCTAAGAATTCTTTTAAATAAAGTGAAAGGTCCAAAATCTTTCGAAGAAATTCGCACAATCAATGGTGAAATATGTTCTTCTTTTAAAGATGCATGCTATAATCTGGGTCTTTTGGATGATGACAAAGAATACATTGAAGCAATTAAGGAAGCAAGTCTTTCTGGATCTGGTTTTTATCTACGTTTCTTATTTGCTACGATGTTATTGTCCAACAGTTTGTCTAAACCAGAGATTGTATGGGAAGACACATGGGAATACTTGTCAGATGGAATTCTTTATACTCAACAAAAGAGATTAAAGTCTCCAGGTATTGTATGTTTATTACATTATTATTAAAATTGTATCATATAAATTTCCAGTATGCACTCAATTACATTTTATGTCCCACTTAATCTCTTTTTTAGTATGTTGTAAGTAATATAGTATTGTTCATACAGGTTTATCACTAAATGAAGATCAAATTAAAAACTTGACTTTGTTTGAGATAGAACAAATTTTACTCCGAAACAATTCCAGTCTCAAGGACTATAGAA